TTGAATTTCAGTAATTAATATTTTATACATTCCAAAATTTTACTTAAATTTAATTAATATTTCATTCATTAAAAATTTCACTTAAATTCAATTAATATTTTATACATTCCAAAATTTTACTTAAATTTAATTAATATTTCATTCATTAAAAATTTCACTCAAATCATTAATGCATTTGTAAAAATGGTCTAAAGAAATAACTGCAAAATATAAACAATTTTAAATTAAATTATATTCAACAAATATTTTATATTTGAAAATGTTACGAAATATAATGAAAATGAATTGAATTCAAATTTTAAACGAATTATTTAGGAATATGTGGGAAATTAAAGGACGATTGCAATTTTGATGATAATAAAGTGTTGAAAAAAAAAGCGAAAATTCTGCAACATTTTTTGTTCTTTTGTTTTTATGCTTAATGCTAACAATTATTTCAACTTCTGTCATCAAAAAACAAACAAATAAGCAAACAAGTAAATAAACAAACAAATAAACAAACAAACAAACGAATAAACAAACAAACAAACAAATAAACAAACAAGTAAATAAACAAACAAATAAACAAACAAGTAAATAAATAAACAAATAAACAAACAAACAAACGAATAAACAAACAAACAAACAAATAAACAAAAAACAAATTGCTAAATTTTTTATTTTCGAAAATGTTGAAACGAAAACAAAACGAACGGAAGAAGGAAGCAAATTTTTGGTGACAGTTAAAAAAGACAGGAAATTTTTTTTAGAATATTTTGAAAAGCAAAAAAGAATTATAACATAAATTAGCATAATTATAAAAGAATTAATTATTAGAGAAGAAAAGGAAAAGATTTTATTGTTTATGTAAAAAAAGAAAAGAACGAATTGAATTTTGAATTGAATTGATAATCGACCTTAACAATTAGCATTTTATCCTTATCATTTTTTTGCTAATAATTCTTAACAGTTTAATTTTCTGATAATTTACAATGCTAATTGTAAGATCGATTATTAAACATATATTGATTGATTAGCTAATTTTTTTGCTTTCCTTTTTGTTTAACTGAAACTTTACAATGACATTTTGTAATGGTAAGATGAATGAAAGTATTGTGCTTAATGCTAACAAATATTTCAACTTCCGCTACCAAACAAACAAACAAATAAATAAACAAACAAACAAACAAACAAATAAGCAAAACAAATTGATAATCATTGAACAGTGGTGCCATTTAATGCAACAATTTAAAATTTAATCAAAGTTTAGAATGGGAATAATTTTGAAGAATTAAATTTTGTTAAAGTCATACATTGCTATAAGCAAAATGAATTAGAGAGATTTCCAAAAAACAAAAGAAAAATTAAAAAACCCTTCTCACAACAATGAGTGGAATTTTCAGTCTTCTTTAAAATGCAAAAAATAATAATTAAAATTAATTTTAAGCAAAATAAATTTGAATTATTCATTGACATTGTGTTTATTCGAGATAATAAAATTTATTGTTTGATTAAATTAATTGAATAATTAACAATTTTCATTTTCAATATATTAAAATTTCTAATTAATAAACATATAAAAATTTTCTTTGCATTCAAAAATAATTTCTTAATTTTGAAACACAAAAATTATTTCATCAATTTTAATCAATAGAAGAGGAATAATATAGTGATAAGGTAATACAATAATATTTATACCCATTCTTTGCCCTTAATCTTTCCCTAAAAATTTATTATCACACCTATTTTCAGTAACATTTATTGTCGGCCATCCTATTTGTCACGTTATTAAAATTTCATTAATTAATCAAAAGTTTTGCATTGAAAAGAATTTTTCTCATCCTTTAATATTTTTAGAATATTTCAAAATTTAATGCCTATATTTAAGCATTTGATAGTATCATTTAAAATGATTGGGAATAAGGTATTTGCTTAAGAATAAATAATTTTTAGAATAATTTTAAATTTCATTTTTCTTTGTTTAATTATAATTAAAAATTTATAATTACATAACTTTCTTTGGTATGATATGTGAAAATTATTCCTAAAAATTATTTCATAAATATTTCGCTGCTAAATTTCTGTTATTTAAATTAATTTCTATTTCTAAATAACAATTTCAAAATTATAATTTGTGTTTCGAAATAATTGATTTTTTATATTTCAAAATAGTAATTTTTTAAAAATAACTATTTCAAAATAACTTAACTTTTTCGTTTGTTTATTTTTTAAGTAAATAAATTTTCGAAATTGAAAAAATAAATAAGAAAAAATTTTTTTGAAAACAAAATATGAAAAAGGAATAATGGAATAAATAGTACATATTTTGTGGTGACATATTGTCTGAATGACATAGGTCAGATAATAATAGTATGATGATGATAAGGATAATGATGATGATACTAATGAAGTGATCATTAAATCAAGGTGAAAATAATTTATTTCAGGTTGATTGAATATGCCGATCGGCAATTGTTCAATTGCAAAATGTTTTATGAGAAAAATATGAGCTAATTTTTTTCATACCTAAGGCTAGGCAAAAAAAAGAATGAAAGAAAATGCCTAGGCAAATATGTTGTTTGGATGGAAAAAAATTGATAAGTGATATGATGATAATGCAACAATATATGGAATTGTTAAACGAATAATTATACAACAAAAGTTATTATATGATAAACTTAGTGATATGATGATAATGTAACAATATGTAGAACTATCAAATTAATAATTATACAATGAAAGCGATTAAATGATAAACTTACTGACATGATGATAATATAATGATATACGGAATTATAGCATTAATAATTATACAAAAAGGTGATTAATTGATAAACTTAATGATATGATGATAATGTAACAATATATCAAAATAATAATTATGAAACAAGACTTATCAAAGATAAAGTTTAGTGATATGATAATAATATAACTATTAAAGGAATGATCAAATAATCAATGAACGGTTATGAGTGAGGGAAAGAGAAGAAAACTCTCAGTAATTAATTTTTGATTAGTTCTGTCACTTGTTAACTTATCATTGTAGTATGAATATAAAACTTTTTTATATGATTAGTTTTAGTGCTTATCATCAAATGAGAATCGAATAAAAGGGATAGAGAAAAAGGGAGAGAGAGGGCGAGAGAGAAAGAGGAGAGATTTGATCAATAAATTTTGATAATTTCAATTTTTTATATCATCCATTTCATCCTTATTACTTCGCTACCTGTTTTTCGTGAAAGATAAAAGATATACCGGGCGAAGAAAGAGCGGCATCTTTAACAAATTATAGTGATAAATAATCGTTAATAATAAATTATAGATATTTATTCTTCGTTAACTTCCTTTCTCTTTTTTTCCTTAATATTTTTTTCGCTTATAAAACTGTAAACAAATTAATCTCTCTCTCTATATGAGAGAGAGAGAGAGAGAGAGAGAAAGAGATATTAGTGAATTTATGAAATTTCCCAAGCCCATAAAATGACTAAAGTTCTTTGTCATTTTGAGAAAACATATTTGTACAATTAAATTAGGTCGGTCGGCTCTCGGCAATATTTATGTAAAACTTTTTATTATTTCCATTTACAATAAATACTAATTTGCTCTTTCACAAAAATTTCACATTTAATTCATTCATATGAATTTATGGTACTTTATTTATATATATATGTGCTAAAATTAACAATTCAAAAGAGTCTCTATATGAAATATTTTTAAATATTTCAAATTATTTTACTAAATTATTTCATCAAAACCATTCATCGATTTCATTGCAAATATTATTTACTATATTCTACAAAATAAAAAAAGGCCTATTATTCGCTATATCCTACAAAATAAAAAAGTTTATTTTCTGTTTTAATTATTTTTCGGAATTATTTTTCAACTAAAAATAATTTTTCAAAATTAATACTTATGTTTGCAACATTTTTTGCATTAAAAGAAAATTCTTTTTAATAAACCAATTATTCACAATTAATAAATTGAATTTGTTTTTATTTAAAAAAACCGACAATATAAGAGAGAGAGAGAGAGAGAGGAAGAGAGAAAAATTAAGTATAAAATAATATTGAAATAGGAAAAAAAGCCAACGAACATTTTTTTTCTTTGTAGGACAAAAAACGGAAAACTGATTGTTGTAAAATTCACCAAACGGAAAGAAGGAAAAAAGAAAAAAGATTATAATTATGATTTTCGGAAAGGTCAATGGTACTCGGAAAAAGTAACAAACATAACAATATATACATAAAGTAAGAAATATGTTGGAGAAAGAAAAAAAAGAGAAACAATAGAATTAAGGTGTGAGAATGAGAAGGAAATGAATGAGAAGTGAAAATACCTATGGATATACATCAATCATAATATGCACACCTGCTCTTTATTTATCACACCTTTTAATTACTTAGTAAAGGTGAAAGAAGAAGAAGAAAGTGAATGAATGAATGAAGAAATGTTGATTGCTAAGTGCTGAAGTAAAAAGTGCTCCATTCGAATAAATCCCTCATGGTGACATTAATTTTTTGATGGCAATCCTTGATAAAATCACTCTGATAAAGTAAAGTTAATCTTTGATAAAAGTAAAGTTAATCTTTGTTATAAAATGGACTTGATCTATTGACCTAATTTTTTCAATCAAAATTATTTTATCAAATAAAGTCACTTTTAATGATTCTGATAAAGTAAGTTGATCTTTGATAAAATGATTCTGATAAAGTAAAGTTAATCTTTGATAAAATAGCCTGATATATTGACCTAACTTTTTCAACCATAATTATTTTATCAAAAGTAAAGTTACCTTTAATAAAATGATTCTAATAAAGTAAGTTAATCTTTGATAAAATGACGCTGATAAAGTAAATTTGCCCTGATGAAAAATATTTTTATGTAAAAAGAAAAAAACAATGAAATTTTTAATATAAAATTGATCGATGAATAAGTTGAAAATACATTGTACATTTTAATACTATCATCAACTGGTTGTAAAACATGGAAATTTGACATTCTTGCAATCATATGCTATAATGGTTGATGCACAAGCGGCAATATCAATAACACGTGGAGGAAATGCCACTGAAGAAGCCTTTTTTAATAGGATATTTCCGGAGCGTAATTCCGGAATGCGTTTCAATTTTGATAATATCCGAGAATTTCTTCATGATCCACTTATTGCAATCATTGCAACCGATTTAACAGTGTCGTAAATAATTTCTTATATTTTTAAGAATTTTTTTTTCAGATAACTTCTATTCCTCGGATTATTACAATTATTTCATTGTTTATGCAAATTTTTCTATTATACCTATTCTATATTAATTTAACACTTATTATTATCTTTTATCAATACTATCATTAAAGCATTTTAAAATCATAAAATTAATTCATTTCAACTTTTCATCCAATAAAAAGCCAACAAATATGAATTTTTCCTACGATAACATTTCAGGCTGATGAATTTCATTTTAGGCTGATGAAAATTTGGACAATATTGAAATGGTTCTAAAACGAATAGGTCGTGAAAAATCGTAAAAAATTTTTGCAAAAAATTATTTTCAGTATATTTTAATGAGCAATAAAATCTAATTTAATTTCTTATTTATTTAATTAATAAATTAATAAATTAAAATTTTAATTATTAAATAAAATCATATTTTATGTTTTATTACTATTATATATGATTATAGGAGAAATTACTCTCAAAACATATATCGCAATCATTCATTCATTTATTCATTCCACTATTTAAATTTTATAATTATGCTAAATTGATACCCTAAAATAGTATTTAAAAACAGGAAGCTATTTTTTCCGGAACTCAATGATATATTCAAATATAAATTTAAGGTAACAAATTTCATTAATTTATTAATAGATTTGTTATTTTATGATCATCAAAATTTAGCGAAAAGTCATCATCCGTAGTAGAGGAAACTACGTCAGGTGTGCATAAATTTTTATTGCTTTCAAAAGAATCCACTGAAGAAGCTACACAATATGAAACTTCTTCAGGTATATAATTAGAAATTTAATCAATTACTTTCGTAAGATAGTTTTATTCTTCAATAGTAACTTAAATTAAATGTTAATTTAAATTACTTTTTATAATGATAAATTATGATTAAAATGTTAGTGGAAAATGTTTAAAAAAGAATGGTTGTTTTCTTTATTACAGGTATTTCAGGTAGCAATATTAATTTAAATTATCAAAATTTATTACCATATTGCTACCAAAAAAAATGAAGCATGTTTTATATTATATTAATTAATTATAGGAGAAATTTTTATATCATTCAATTATAGGAGAAATTTCATCGGAACATATATCAACCATTCATTCAATACCAAATTTATGTCGCGAGATACTTTGGAGAGAGCCACAAATACCTGAACCATTTCTGCTACCTGGTTTACATTGCGAGAAGCGATTAGTATGGAGGATGTTGCAGGAATGTTTTTGCACTGAACTTCTATTTTATATCATTCATTGAATATATCAATTGTTATCAATTGATATCACTAATAATATCTTTGATTATCAAACAACAAATTCACCAAAAATCTCCCCGCCCCCGTTCCCCCGATGTTTCCTAATTGTAATTAATTACTGTAAATTTCTTTATTTCATTTTGTAATAAAACAAATTCAAATGTTAGTCAAACAATTTTATTACTTGCAAGAAAAAGAACAGAAACGAATATTGTTTGTGAAAATAGTTTAGAAGAAAGTTAAATAATTTTTTAATTGGCTTTAATTAAAATTTTTTTTGAATTTTTGTTTATAGTAAAAAAAATGAAAATTATAATTAATTATATTTAATAATTGTTTATAGTAAAAAGGCAAATAATAAATAAATTTTGATGAAAGAGAATACAATGAGAAAAAGAAGAGAAATATACGAAGCGATAATATGAAATAGGTGAGGGTGGAAAGAAGCAATGCAATAATTAGAGATTGTGATAAATAATTTTGAAAATTTTTAGAATAAATAGTAAATAAAGCTATGATTTGAATTTATGCAAATTTTTTACATTTGAAAAATTATACGTGCGAATTATATACGTGTTAATTTATACGGTGAATTAGAATAGAACAACGAAAATTTATCATAATAAATTATAATACTATGATTTTGTATTGATGAATGAAAAATATATGCATCGGATATATTTTACAGTAAAAATGGAGAAAGCTATTATGATAGTGATAATAATGATAATGATAATAATCATATAATCAGATAAATAATAAATGATTGTTTAAATAATAAGATAAATGATTATTCATGTTGATAAATAATCATAAATAAATAATAATGAATAATCAGATAAATGATTATAAATGATAATAAATAATAATCAGATAAATGATTATTTATTCATGTTGATGAGACGATATTTCCAAGATGATCCATTGATGTTATGCAATTACCATCGGATACAACCATACCACTTCGACTTACGTGAACACGTTTCAGCCCTCTCTTCACAAATGCCTTATCATCTTCCTTAATAGTTGATAAAATTTGCATAACAATTATAAATATTTCGAAAGAAATTTTAATTATTGAAACAATAGTATGTGAATTGATTCTTTAAGAATTATTGCATCAAAATTTATTACAAACATTTCAAGTCATTTTCAGATATATTTTGCTCGTTCATTTTTTTAAGTATTGTTTAATGATTAATCAATCAATCAATAATCAATTAATCAATCAATATGACAAATATCATGTAGAAAAAAGAATTCACTAAAAAATTTCTATTTTATCAATTCCAAAACATTTGCTAAACTTTTTACTGAAGTAATAGGTATGCAATAAAATCTTTGCAATAATAATAATTATTAATTAGAAAAATTAATTATTAATTTTAAATTAAACCTGAACAGCCATATCAACCATATTTGTGCGAATATGTACAATACCATCAGTTGGTGAACAACTGATATGTTTTGGACGACAATTCACCTCAATATCACCACGTTCATCTTGCTTTATATAAACACCTTGAAATAATCTATCAGTTTAATTTTATCACTTATCAAAAACTATATTATCAAAAGTATTGAAATAAGATCTCAATTAGTGATTAATTCAAATTATTTCTTAAATTTCAAATAAAAGTGATCAATCATTAAATTGAAATTGGTTCTTAATTTATTATAATGTAATAGCATTTAATTACTTAATTATTTAATTATATGTGAATAAAAGAAAGAGAAAGAGGAGAAACCGTTAATTGATAGTATTAGAGTACCATCACCACGTTTTTCATAACGTGCTTCCTGTACAATTTCATTACATAATTCTGTGAACTGAAATAAAAAATAACTTGAATTCATATTCGAATTTAAATTCATTGCATGTAATTTATTTGGATACTTAATTACCTGAAAGGTATAATAAAAATTATGTTTTATTTGTTAATTATTATTTACAATATGAAAAATAGAATATATTTTCTTTTTATCTTTCTAATATATTATCTTTTATCGCTCTCTTTCTTATTCATTTATTTATTTCTTTTCTATTTAAGTATTAAATTCCAATATTGTTTGTTTACTTTTTCCTTCTCTAAAACAATTAATTAAGAGTTATTTTAAGTTAGCAAATCATTGAAAATATTTTTCATAAAACAAAGTAAAATGATTAAACAATGTAATAATATAGAACAGAATAAATTAAAATATTAATTAAATGTGATTTTTCTTAATTACAATTATCATTTATACCTTTAATTTACTCTTTTATCTTAAAAATAATAAACAATTTTAATTTTTCTAATTATTATTAACACAATCGATTGCTTATTGCGTTGAAATTTCATTTTAAAATTTTGCAAATTTTTTTCCTAGGAGGAAGAAGAGGGAAAAATTTTAGAGTAAACAAAAATAAAGCATGAAAGGTAAAATATTTTGAACCTGATCACCATTTTGTGATTCGGTGAAAAACATGCGTACAGTGAAATCATAATTTAAACTTGGGAATTGCAAACGTCCAAGTGAAACGGATAAAGCGCATTTAACAATTGTTGATGATACCAAATATGCTTCACCAAGATGTGACATTGTAAATAATATACCTTGTGTACCGAATACTGCTGCTTTATCATTTCCTGTTACTAAATTTGAATTTATAAATTAACTTAAATTAAATCATTTTAATTTTTAATTAATTAAATGAAATATATCAATTAAATTACTATTATTCGAAATTAATTATATTATAATAACTATAAAATTTCAAAATAAACTAACATGATGAACCAAAATTACAAAAAACTTTTTCATTCTGCTGAAAGATACGAGCTTTTTTATGTAATATACATGAACTAGTACCACGGCTATTGCATACTGCCTAAATTAGCATTAATTAATTCGATGAAAAATAATTTTTAAATTTTTATCCATTGATGATATCTCAATGGTAGTGCTTAAACGGCTAAATGAGAGGTTAATTATTAGCTTAAACAAAGCGCAATTAATTATTGGACAAAAAAATATTCCTCTAAAGATTTCTATTTTTACCGAAAATTTATCGTGGCAAAGAACTCGAACAGCTCGATCAACTGCTACCTGAAAAAACTTTTTTAATAAAAACGAAAAGGGAAAATTTGAAATATTATAAAAGCGTAAATATAAATGCTAATCTCTAATATTGAAATGTTGTATTTATTGATTGATTAAAAAATTTAATTAATAAACAATGAAATTATGAGAAAAGTAAAATTAACAAAACGAAATTTAATAAGCTATTTTTCTCCTTTGTTTTATTTAATTTCAAAAATTAAATTTCAATTATGATAATTTTTATGTTGTTTTAATATATATTGTTGAAGGATTTAAATTTCGTTTTGTTAATTTTACTTTTCTCGTAATTTCATTATTTAATTATTAAATTATTAATGAAATTTTATTAATCAAAAAAAAATTTTTTAGTTTTTGATTAAGAAATTTTTTTAATTGCTACCTCAATTGTGACACCTTTATTGAGTAAAATTGAAATGGTTCCGGTTGGTGCAACATAAATGATTGGTAATTTGCCACGTTTTTGAATAGAAATAGTATTGCTAGAAGAATAGCACATATCACCGGTATAAGTACGTGATCCATCACCACCACTACCACTACCACCACTACCACTAACACCACCACTGCTACAACTTCCATTTAATGCGCCTAAAATAAAATTTGAATACTAATTATTTTTTATAGCAAATATAATTGATAATAAAATAGATGAAATCATAATTATGATTTATGATTATTTCAATGATATTCACATTGATACAGAACAAATGACTAACTTTCACTATTAAGCTTTGAAACTGTTATAATTTGGGAATTGAATCCAGATGGAACTACCGCATTATTACGTGAATTTCTTGCGACGTTATTACCACGCCACGTACGATTTGCACGTAATGCTCCATTATGAAATGTTCGTATTACTTGTGATCGATGACTGAAATAGAAATAATTTCGATTCCCAAACATTATATTCTTAATTACTCATTTACTATAGCAATAACTAAAAAGGTAATGGTACTAAGATGATAGTACTGGTTAAAATTTTTCACTTTCAAAAAATTGATTTATCAAGCATAATTAAAATTTTGCTTTCATTTTTCGAAGTATTGTTTCTTTTCAAAAAAAGAAAAATTTTGAATATAGGAAAAATCAGTTTCAGAATTTTTCACATTTTACCTGAAAGTATTTGCATGTGAATTCATGTTTTTTGCAGATTCAGTGATAGCACGATGCTGATTTGTATTTCCAGTATTACTGATGGAAATTGTAGTTCCAGTTGTTACAGTAGTATTGATTGTTTGATTAATTGTTGTACTGGGAGTTGATCGTCGTAAATTGTTATTATTGTAACCATCAGTCGTTGAATGAGGGCGCCAATAATCACGAGCTGTGTACGTGGTTGGACGAAACCTACTTCTAATATTTACGAATATTTGCACATTTGTAATATGAACTCCACACCTCGAAATTTCTCAAGCAAGAAAAGTTTTGAGAAAGATTAAAATGATAATTTCACTCATCCTTAATATTCCAAAAGAAAATATAACAAAAAGAAACATAAATTAATTAGATGGATTAGCATAAAACAAAAGATTTAAATTTTATAATTCGTAAATTGAAGAGATATACCTTCTAACTCATTAATATTTCAATGAAAACTATGAGTTGAATGATAGAGAAAAAGAAATAAATTGATAATATTAAATAAGTGAAATTTCACCCGGAACTGATTACGCCCCGTCGATTATGAGCAGCGTAAAAGACGCCACCACTACGACGTCGGCCTTCATCTGGTTGACGTGTTGTTTGCATCTGAATTTTAACAAATCATCCTTCATTCCTTTTTCGGTAATTGAAAATAAGAATTATCACAGTATGATTGAGGTGGAAATGAAATTTTATCTTCTCACATCTCTCATATGAATCTTTTTCGAAGAATCGACAATTCGTAAAATTGCGTAAAATTAACGTAAAATTAAAAGCTAACGTAAAAAAGCAAGCGTAAAATTACGTGAATGGATGACAGACACGTGATTTTATTATAATAAGAGTAATTGTAATGTAAAATTACGTGAATAAAAGACAGAGTGTAGGAATGTGTTATTTTTACATTTGTATTGAACAGAAATTGAGTGCAATAATTAGAAGTATTAAAATCAAATTTGCCACATAAATGAATTTACGTAATTAATTTTGTAATTAAAAAAATTAATAAAAATTTAAATTATCCAATTAAGAAAAAAAATACGTGAAATTATAACTTTTTTAGTTTCAATTGATTTTGTATCTGTTTTCAATGGTTTTGATAGCTGTTGATTGCTAACATTGTCATTGACAATATGTGAAACGGTTGTTGATTCGACGATACTTTTCGTCGGATCATCTCTACTACAAATATCACCCATTGCTTGCTTCTTCGTTTCGTTGCTTAATTTTTCCTTATGTGACTAAAATTTGTTTCTTTTGTTTTACATGCAAAAATTAAATGAACAAAGAAATTTAAAAAATAAGAAATTGTGCTAAATTTTTAAATATTAAATATTTTTAAAAATTTACTAATAGATATTATTATCATTAATTAAGCCATAATACAATAATGGAATATGTTAATACGATAAATTAGCGTAATTAAATAATCAATAATAAAATTCTACTCTATTCTGAAATATCTTATTCAATCAAGTAAGAGATTATTCTAGTTGTTAGTTACTTTTCCACTTCTTACTTTCATCTTTTATAGTTTAATTAGATGAGCCTATTAAGAGAAAGTTAGAAAGCAAATAAAGAAATAGTAAGATTTTCATTGATAAATATCTAATAGCGAAAATTATACAGTTTAATATTGTAACATTGTACTATTATTGATTAATTATTTAATTAATCAAATTCAGATTTTAACACCAATCAATAATTTTAACACTTTAACATCAATCGATAGCATTGTACTGTTACTGATTGATTATTCAATTATGTAAACTTAATTAGATTGATCTTGAATCTCTTAATTATTTTGTTGAAATACAATAATTAAGAGTATAGTATAATTAAGAAAATTTTTTGCTAAGTAATAATAATAAATTTTGTTCCATTTTTATAAATTTAATTAATGAACAAAAATTTTAAATGCATACTGAGACATGATCTTTTTCATTATCCATAACTTCTCTATCCGGTGAAGAAGCATCAGATGAGTATTGTACACTATTAGATGCTATATGATATGATGATGATGATGAAGATGATAAATGCTCCTCTGTTTTATTTGTTGTTGCAGTAACCGTTGTTACAGTTGTATCATCCAATGTTTCAGACATCCTCCTACGGATCAGGAAAAAAAATATCTGTTTATCTTTATAAGGTCAATTAATATAAGTATTATATTTATATATAATATTATATTCATTATTAATAAAATTTAAACAAACAAAAGAATGTGTCAAAAAAAAAATCTGTTTAATTTTATAAGGTCAATCAATATAACTATTATATTTACAATAAAATTTAAACAAACAAACAAAAAAGTGTCAAAAAATATCTGCTTAATTTTATAAGGTCAAAGAATATCTGTTTATAAGGTCAATCAATATAACTATTATATTCATATATAATATTATATTCATAATTAATAAAATTTAAACAAACAAACAGAAGAGAAGAAACGTAATACCTTTTTCTCAATGAAGTTGGTAAGTATTATTTGCAACGCAGAAAAGTACTTTCTTTAAACTCAATTTTTAAAGTCAATAAAACCCGAAAAGTTTATATTGAAGCGATCTAAAAAGAAAAACAATAGAGACAAATTATTTTATATTACACAATTATTTCATTTATGCATTGTAACATAGTAAATTGATCAAAACGAACAAATCATTAATTTAAATCAATCATTGATTTTAATTAATTCTAATTAATCAATCATTAATTTTAATTAATTAAAATTAATGATTTGATGATTTAAATTTTAATGGAATTAAATTAATAAATTTAAATTAGAAAAATTTTTTCTCAATCATTTTTTTAAAAAAAGAACCAAATATTTGTTTCTCAAAAAATATTGCTTATGTAAACCGATCTTACTCAAATAATAAATAAATATATTCATTTAATAAAATTAAAATCATCCAATTAATGTTATTCTAGGTGTTATTATATTATTATTATTATACCTGAATTCTAATTATTAATAATTAATTGCTAAACGATAATACAGTACAAGATATTATTATGAATATTCATTTAATAAAATTAAAATAACCCAATTAATATTATTCCCGATATTATTATACCTAAATTCTAATTATTAATAATTAATTGCTAAACGATAAAATAATACAAGGTATTATTATTATTATTACACCTAAATTTTAATTATTATTAATTAGTTGTTAAACGATAAAATAATACAAGGTATTATTAAACCTAAAATCTAATTATTAATAAATTAATTGCTAAGCGATGAAACAATACAACACCAACCGATTGTTAAAACTAACAATGAGAGAGAATGAATTGAGCGAATGATATAGTGGATGATGATTCGAAGATAATTATGCAAATTTTTTTGCAACAGAAACGATGAATTTCTCTCAAGTTAATAAATTTGCATTTATGCAAATTTGCTTCTTTTAGTAAACTATCTATCCCGATAAACTATTTCTTTATCAAAAAGAAAACAATTATATTAGAATTATGATTAATCATAATACATTAATTGTATATGTACTAATTGATATGAAAAAAGAAAACAATTATATTAGAATTATGATCAATCATAATACATTAATTGTATATACACTAATTGATATGAAAAAAACAATTGTATCAGAATTATGATTATTCATAATTCATTAATTGTATATGTACTAATTAATATGTTAATTGATTATTGATATATTTAATTCCCTTCCTTTTTTCATTTTGTGAAACAAATATATTTTCAACATTTTATTAGATTTTTTCTTAATAATTTTAGGCAATGAGCAAACACAGAAGAATACTTATAAGCTTATATATTATTATTTATGCGTATAACTGAAATAGGAATGGTATGCTTGTCGTTTTCAATTTCTCGTAAATGTATCTTCCATGCAATTGCAAAACATATCGATGCAGCAATTAAGCTACCAGCCAAAATTATCATTTGAGTATGCAAATCCAATATTGATGAATAGAAAAATGATGCGCATGTTGTCGCTGACTAAAAACTATTCCATCTATTTCTGATAGTAATAATGATAATAGCAACAATAATAATACCATTATTATATTCATGATAATGGTAATAATGACAGTGATAGGAACAAAAATGACAATAACAACAATATCAGTAGCATTTGAATAACATTATCGCTGACGAAAAGTATTCCATCTATTTCTGATAGTAATATTGTTAACAGCAACAATAATGGTATTATGTCATTATAATCTTGATAATGATTATAATGACAATGATAATAACAAAAATCACAATAACAACAATATCAGTATCATTTGAATAAATATTAGTAATTATTGGATGAAAATTACATTTGAAAATAATTCAATTCTTCTTCCTGCTTATTAATTTATTTGTTTTAAAATTTTTATGAAATTTTTTTCTTCACACCACTGATTTCAAAAAAACGAATACAATGCATGAAAGAGTATAATGTGATAATTATTATCTGACAATGTAATTATAATTAATTACAACAATTAAACATACAGATAATATTAGTAAATTAAATTTTAAAAAAAGTGGAATGCAGTAAAATATCATTCGTAATATCAAATGTGGCGGTTTAAAAAGCAGAATATATAAAAGTTAATCAAATTTTTTTGCAACAACTTAATTGAAATAAAATATTTTCTTAATTAATTGATTAAAATTAAATTATCAGTTATATATGTTCAAAGAATTCATTACCTGAAAAAATTTACTTAATGCAAAAATTTGTGACGAACTATCACGATGGTACATTTTTGTGAGAACAGCTGTTCGTAACGTATTCCAACAACTATCACCCATACATAATAACATTCCAATAATAAGCCATATGAATAGGCTAAAATAATTTTTAAAAATTTTTTTAAAATACTCTTTGAAACTATAATAGTGAAAAGCTCATAAATGTTATTAATAAATATTTTTCTTTTGCTCAATTCGATATTTTTATCATCCTAAATTTATCAATCCAATGATAATATATCAATCAATAATCCATACTATAAGATTTAATTAATTAACAAGAATTTGATCATTCTTTTGCTTAATTCGATATTTTTATCATTCCAAATTTATCAATCCAATGATAATATATCAATCAATATCCCATACTATAAAATTTAATAAATTAGCAAGAATTTTGTTAAAGAAAAAAATCAAATAATTTTATCAAATTGACAATAACCTTGGTGTTAAATAGGTTGCTTCATTTGTTGGCCTTAAATTTGCATATTTCGGAAAAGCTAAACAAATACCCAAAAAAGCTAGTAGATATAATGGTAGTGCTATTAACATTGTTGGCATATAACCAAAATTATTGATACGTTTACTTAACAAACTGATAAAGCATCCACCTGTAATGATATTTTTAAATTTTCAAAATTAACAATTTCAAACATTTTGCTTATTTTAATTTCGTCTCTATTTATAAATATAATAAAATTTTATTTAACAACTATCAAATTTTATTGAATTTTTTTTTATTTAAATATTTCTCATAAAAAAATGAATAAATTTTACGACGCAAAATTTTTACGACGCAAAATTTTTACGACGATCTTTTTTGAAACATTTCTTAGAAATGAATTTATAATTTTATGACGAAAAAAAAATATAACTTTAAATAATTGTCAAAATTTATTGATCATCAAAGTAAAAGATTGCCAATATGAAAAGTGAAATTATCTTTTTTGCGAAAGAAAATATGACCTCATATCATTTGACCTCGATTTTCATAACCTTTTAATTACAGTATCAAGCAATAAAAGTATTTTAGATTTTCTATTCAACTATAAAATATTAATCAATTTTTTTCTAACTATAAATTATTAATCATAATAATAAAAATGGATAGATTTTCTGATTAAAATTTTCTTAATCTTACTATTGATTAGAATTTTTAAAAACGAAAAATAAATTCGAACTTTATTAAATTACGCCTAATAGTTGTTATTGTTTTTATTTCTTTCTCAAAACTTATCATATTCCTATCATTAATTACTGCTGATAAGACAATCACTTACTTGTTTTCTTTTTATTTTCAAAATCTTCAACTAATCATGTCAATAAATATTATTATTATCACTAACCAAAAATTTGTGATCCCGAAGTAATGAATGCATAATAAACAATAATTTCATTGCCCAAACCGATGATTGATTTTGAAAATGATAAACATGAGGGATAAATGGTTATGTACAGTGATAATGATAAACCCATGAACATAAAACATACAGCTAACAGATATACCTTCGTATCGGTAAATAATTCTACACTTTTAACTAAAAATTTCACATTCATCTTTTTTTGAATTTTAAAAGTTTGAAATTTAAAACAATGAAAAGTTAAGTTATTACAATTAAACGATTGAAAAAATTTAAATTTAAATAGACAAAAATTTATTGAAATTTGAAATTGTATTCTTTTATAACTTTCCTTCCTACCTTTTCGATATTTAAATTCTAATAGTTTGGATAGTAATTCCACAAATTTTTTCAAAGTTTGAAAAACAATCAAAGATTACTTTAAATTAATTAATTAATTAATAAAGGTGTGGTTAATTGAGCTATTCAAAGTAATTAAAAGACTGTTAATATCATTCACAAATGTCATATTTTGGTGACAAAAAAATCAACAAATTAATTAACTAATTAATTAATTTGTTAGCCTATTGATTTATATTTGTTAAATTTCCAAGAATTTCAACAATTTACCTATTGTTGTTAAAAAACTATCACGTTTCATTATTGATTGATTGGAACGATTAGGTAAAATAGCGAATAGAATATTCGATAAAATTGTAAACGTTGATAATCCACCAAAAATATATCTGTCAATATTTCATTAAGTAAAAATAAACAAATTCAAATCTATTAATAATTAAGTTTATTAAAGAATATTGCTACTTAGAAATGAATGTGTTGTCAAATACACGAAAGAAAAATTCGACAATTTATTTCTAAATTAAATAAATTTTATTCCGTATTATAAGACGATTAGATTTTAGATTGCTATACAATTTATAATAAAATTTTTATAATATTTTCCAGTTTAATTATTATAATGAAATTATTACAATTTACTATAATTAATTATTATAATAAAATTACAGTATATTTATTTAATTGGTCATTTAGAAAATAATAATTTACTTATTTCAAACATTTTGTTTTTGAAAATTAAAATTTTGAAATTGTTTTAATAATTGATTATATATTGATGCACTTAAATATATATATATTTAAGAAAAGAGAATTGAAATAAAGAAGAGGAAAATATTGAGAGAAAAATATGAAAGCTAAAAATATGAAAATTATTAGTTGCCAGTCATTTGTAGGATTAACCTTAAAATTGTTTAATTAATTTCAATTTCGTCGACTTCTCTTTTCTTTATAAATTTGACAATTTTTGTTAGTGAATAAACAAATAATACGTTTAATCTTTAATGATAATCAATTCACCTAATTAATTCCATTGATATCGTTTCTGATTCACCAGTCTTATTAAATATCACAAATAAAAGTACACCACCAATGATAAGGCTAAAAAAAAAATGTATGATTTTAGGAGAAATATGAAAATTAGTATTTAATAGCAAAAGATCACTTATAATATTATATATATATGGTTAACACGCTGTTTATAATTACTATTTTATTTTTCAAACTTTTGAAAATATAAAAAATAGAGAAGTAAAAGCAAAATGAACGGAAAGAAATAAAGTGAAATATACTGAAAACGGAATTATATTTTATAATATCACGTATATTATCAACAGTTACGTGTTACGTGGTAATTTTAAATAAAATATGATTAATTGATTTACTTTTTATAATATCACGTATATTGTCAATAGTCACGTGTTACGTGGTAATTTTAAATAAAATATGATTAAATTGATTTACTTTTTTATAATATCACGTATATTTATTGTCAATAAAAAATAATAATAACAAAAAAAATGGAAATAATATTTGAACCTGACAAAATTGATACCCCAATGAAGACCGCTATTTCTTGATTCATTACCCGCTGTTGTTATTTCTTTCATGTAAACACCATGACCGGTCCAAATAACTGTAAATAACTGCAATAGCAATCATTCACATTTACGTAAATTATTTTACTAATTAAAAAGTGAAAAAAAAAGCAAAAGTTGCAAATAATTTATTCATATCAATAAAAAAACATTTATTATCAAATATTTGTAATGAAATGATAGCAAGAAAAAGATAGAAATATCAAATTGATAATTAAATTTTGTAATTTTAATAAGGATAATTAAATATTATTATTTAAAACAATTACCAATTATATTTAAATGAAATTAATTAACTTACGAGCTGCTGCAAAGCCCATTAAAATAGATGCAGTATAGAAAACATAACTGTTAACAAGCATAAAAGTAAGCATAAATGTTGAATATAAAACGCTTGCTAAGAACATTGTCCATTTAGCTGTCAAATAATTTACCACAGTTGGTGCAATAAACGTTGATAATGTAAAAGTAAAATAGGTAATACACATCCTAAATCAAAATTACTTGCAACTAATTTTTTCGTAATTAATTAATTAGAGGAGGAAAAAAAGATTCCTTTTAAAGAGTATTAATTGCTAATTTTTTTGTAATATCAAATATTCATATTCTCTATGAATTTTTTTATTGAATTAATTAATTTAACTCGAATTGATTCAACCATTAGTCAAAAAAGATACTTATTATATCATTGATCATTTTATTCGTTATTTTATTATATATTATATAGTAATCTTTTTTTTAATCTAAACTTTATAAATAGATAATTTGATTCGTAATAATAATTGTAAGCAAAAATTTTAAATATATCTGACAAGAGTTGTTTTAAGTAATTAAAATTTTGCTAATAATACATTCATTTTCGTTATTTCTTATTTCACTAAATTAAATGAATTTATCTTTGTTAGAATTTAATAATTAAATTATACATTAAAATAGTAGACATGCAAATTTACCCATAGTATCCAGAATATGGCGATATTCGACCGGGATATTGATTCGACACCGATTGCAAAACTGTTTCGGTAATAAAAGCTTGGGTATCAAAACCGGTAAATACTAGCATAAATGCCGCACCGAACATAATTACATTTGATAATTCGGAATTTAAACCAATTTTGGCATAAAATTTGCTTATCATTTCATTCACTTATAAATTCACTTTGGTACAATTTTAAATCTGAAAATTGATCAAATTATATTTAAAATTTTTCATTGAATAATAAATCATTTTATTTAAATAAAGCAGAATACAAATTTCCTTTTGCATTTCAATTTTATGGTATCCTAAAAATCAATCAATATTACCATCCTTTAGTATAGCAGTATTATTTTTCAAACGGAAGGAAAAAATATCAAAAAAAATTCTTCAAATATAGCAAAACTACTAAAATTTAAGAAAACTATTCGATAATGAAATGTATTTTTAAGAAATCCATTTCAAAACTTATATTGATCTCCAGAAGAATGGCTTAAAAGAAATATAATATTATTATTTATCATATTACTAATAATATTTGTAATGATAAATTTATAATATCAGTTTCAAAAATTTTAACTCGAAGAATTTACATGTAAAAATTAATTATACTAATTTATTTTAATTTAATTGCAATTTAATTTTTATTTATATCAAAATAAATAAATTATTTAGTAGTAGAAATTCTCATAAACGTGATAAAATTTCATAAAAAATGATAAAAAAATTTTTTTGAATCAATTCGAGACGAAAGATTATCAGCATTTGTGAAAAAACGAAGAAGGAAGCAGAAGTTAGCGAAGACTGTAAGAAAAATGTTCGTATTGGATTTGATAAGATAATATTGCTGATAAGATACTAAGAATCATAATAGTTAAAGAAAAAATTTTCTCATAATCAATTAATCGTATACAATTTGATAGTAATTTTAAACTTAAACATATAAATGTAGATGTGTCAAATTTAATTTAATATAATTAAATCTATGAACTTAATTATTTTTGGTATCATTGCAATCATTATTCCTATTACTGGTATGATTATAATCATTATTTTATTTGATGTCATTACAATCATTATTCCTATTACTGGTATGACTATAATCATTATTTTATTTGATGTCATTACAATCATTATTCCTATTACTGGTATGATTATAATCATCAGTTCATTGATACCATTACAATCATTTTTCCTATTACTGGTATGATTATAATCATCAGTTCATTGATACCATTACAATCATTTTTCCTATTACTAATATTACCATTTTCTCCTTTAATATTATTATTTAGTCATTTATAACGAGATGATAATATATTAGTTATGTATAATTCTAGCCAAGAATTAATTTCCTGGAAACAAATTAAAATTTACATTCCTTTTATACTTTGATTATAACAACATTCTTTTTTTTGTATATTTTTATATTTTCATTTCTTTCATGCAAAATTAAAAAGTTATTTCTGAAAATGATTGTTATTTAATTCAATTGATTAGTAATTTTAGTAGAAAAGATTTGTATATATTTTGGGCTTTTATCGTTTCGCAATTGTAGAATTCAGATGGTTTATGTGCAATTTACAAATAATTCTTCTCATGGATTCTGATGGAGTAAAGAGAAGAATGAAATGGATTTTTTGAAAGAGTAGATTTGAAAGAGTATATTTCAAGAAGGAATGCAACAATCATTGCTTTTCATACAGAAAGAATTCTTGAAATGAATGAATTTTGGAAGAGATAAAAATGAAGCAAATGAAATTAACAAAGAATTGTTAAAATGATAGGAAAAAATACTTTCATCATTGATCGGATCGAGAATTTAGCTGTAAAATTTATTTTAAAAATTTTATTTGATAATATTTCATATCATAAACTTCATCATTTCAATATTTCTCGTTATTCTAGTACAAAATGAAATAAAAATTAAACAATTTCATAGCAAATATAATTAATTATTAATCTGAAATTAAAAAATTTTAAATTTTAATCTAATTAAAATTTAAAATTTTTTAAGAAAACTTAATCAATTATCATTTCCATACAAATTAATTCAAATAATTCAATCATTTTGCTCAAATAAAAATTAATTTCAAGAAAAAAAAAACAAATTAATTAATTAAAATTGTACTTTAAATTTCAGGTTTACTTCAATCCATTTCCACAATTTTATTCATTTTATAATTAAAAATACTAATAAGAAAAACGAAGAAAAATTATTGAAAAAATAAATTCTCAAAAATTTAATTATTTACGAAATATTATTGAAATGAAGGAAACGAGAATACGGGAAAAATTCTTCGTTAACTCTCTTTAATGAAATAGGAAAATAATTTCATTTTTGGTATTTATTTCAGTTTTCTCGTTTTCTTTCCATCGTTATGATAATGAATGATTTGTGAAAAGTTCTTTTTTTCGTTTTTCAGAAAATGATGTCAGAAACCGGTATTCTGAAAATTACGCAAACAAAAAAAGGGAAGGAGAAAAACGGAAAGAAATCGTTTATGTCTGACTTCTTTTCCATTTTCGTTTTTATCATTTTCTTTTTTCGGCAATAAATATTCGGCAAAATTATTAGCTGAAAAAGTTTTCGAATAAATTATTTCGATAAACGGAATATTTAGAAGGAAAAGATAAATTCGATAAATTTTGATAATATTGATAATTTTGATAAATGATCTGATATTTGATAATGATAAAATTGATAAATTTCCTTTTTTCGGCAATAATTATTCGGGCAAAATTGTTAGCTAAAAAAAAACATTTTCGAATAAATTATTTCTGGGATCAAAATATTTAGAAGCAAAAGAATTCAATGAAATTTGATAATTGATCTGATATTTGATAATGATAAAATTGATAATTTTGATAAATCCTTTTTTTGACAATAAAAAATTCGGCAAAATTATTAGCTAAAAAATTTTTCGAATAAATAAATATTCCGATGTTCGGAATATTTAGGAAGAAAAGATAAATTTAATAAATTTTGATAATATTAATAACTGATAATTTTAATAATTGATATGATATTTGATAATGATAAAATTGATAATTTTGATAAATCCAATAAATGATAAATTTTTGCTAATTTCAATTTTAATTTTTATTTTTAAATAAAAAGTTTTCCATTTTTAAATTTAATAAAAATTACGAAAATTTTTTTCATTTTTAAAATCTTTGATCAATTTTCGTTTTCGTTCTTTTTTTCTATGAAAATAATTTCCGATAATTAATTGTCGAAATGGTTTTTTTGAAAATAAAAACGAAGCATAATTTAGTAGACAATTAAGTAGACGACGAATTTTCCTCCTTTCTAAGTAATACGGTAAATTTGAAAATGATAATAAGTTCTTCGATAATATCCTATAAAATAAATTATTGTCAATTTTTTTTAATGTGCAGCATTTTTTTAACCCAAGCAAAACATTTAAAAATGATCAAATCATTTGACTTTTTGACAAGAAAATAATGACAAAATTATTGTGGCTGCTAATTCTGTAAGTTCTAAGTTTTAGTTTTTCCATTTCATTATTGAAATTTTTCTATTGTTTTTACTCTGTTAGAAACAATTAAAGCAAATGGAATGATATTTTTTACTAACATATTCAAAAATATATATATGTATTAGAAAACTTTGATTATCCTTCAACTGAAATTATCCTGAAATTATTATTCTTCAATTAAAATTATTTTCAGAAATTTAATTTTTCGAAATGTTTAAATTACCCTAAAATAAGCGCTAATAATAATTTTAGAATTCAAATTATCATACCATTAATTATTATTCTCCTAAAATTATCCTAAAATAAGTGCTAATAATAATTTTAGGATTCAAAATATCATATCATTACCGATTGGCCTCCTAAAATAAACGCTAATAATAATTTCAGAATTCAAATTATCATACCATTAATTACTGGTCAAGTATTTAATTCATTCAATGGTAATAGAGCTGGACGTCGGGTAAGAAACTTCTTTTTTCAAATTTAAGGGAAACTTTTAAAAGAGTAAAAAATTTTTTTGAATGTATTTAAAATATGTTTTCAATGTATTTCATTTCAAAAAGAATATTTATTGTTTGATGAAAAATTTTAAACAAATACAAAGGATTTCAAAAAGAAGCTATTAATTAATATATTAGTGTTTAAAATTGTTTTCGATTAATCTGTAAGTTTCTTTCAATCTATTCTACCTTTAAAGTTGAAATAATTCAAAAACTGTCCCCCAAATATCAGTAATTTTAAATGAATTAAATTTATCTAACAATAATTTTCAGTCATTGAATAATAACGCAAATGTTGGATTCAGAGGTAGAGGTGGATTCCTTGGACCCACACTCCAAAATCGTAAACCTTTTATAGGAGGCTTTTTTGGCTTGTATGGTGCACTTGCTCGTCGATTTTTATTTGGACGATTTGGATAGGCGTAACCAGGTTGACATCGACAATTAAGTTTAAATAAAAATGACCAATTTGGTTTCAGTAGTCAATTCTATTTTCCATTTGTACTGGTAAGAGGATCAATTATTAGTGATCGCTGATTTCTTTGCAGATTAATTAATTAATTAATAATTTTGCTATTATTTAAATTTTTGATTTTATAAACTTTTCAAGCTCTAATATGAATTTATTAAAAAAGGGAAAGTAACATAAAGCATGCCGAATTCGTGACTTTAATAGGTGAATTTAAATTTCTTCCAACATTTGCAATAATAAAAACTTTGATGAAGGAATTTCCGGAAAGTGCTATTAGTTTTATTCCTCTTCCGGTCATATATCATTTCATAACATCAAATATTTGCTCTTTTCGCTATTCGTAATTTTGGAATTTTAGATAATTTTGTTGACATTTCTGTATTTATTGATTAATGTCATAAATAAATAAATAAAACTTTTAGTCGGCAAAATTGAAGAACAAGAAAATAAAATATTTCATTAAAAAATACAATTTGTTAATGGTTTGGTATGCAATAAATCTTTTGCAAATCATACCGCGAAGTTTCATTGCCGGCTAAAATTCTTGATTCGTATCATAAATCATATTTCTGAATGTTTATTTAAATTATGCTTATTAAAATCTACAAATTACTCAATTAAATCTTTAATTCATAAAATTTATTTTAATTCATAAAATTTAAAATAAATACTTCATTGTTAAATTTTACTAAATATCATTGTTTAGTTTTAGTGAATATCAGTATTATTAAATATCATTTATTTTATTGTTAAGTTTTTAAAGCATTTTCAATTTTTAAAATTGCAAAAACATTTACGACGAAAATTCAACATTATCGGTTCAATAAACTGGAATTGTTATTTCTTGGCTAATCAATTTTTGACAACATAAAAAAAAGTTTGTCGGAAAAATTTTAAATAGCAACCACAAATAGTTTGCCCTATTAAGGAATGAATCAATCAGTGACTTGTTTTTCTTTTTCAAAATCAAAAATCAAATTTTAAATTCACTTCATTGCATGCTATTTGTTATCAGTTATCAACAAAGTTTCTTATAATTTGATAAATAAAACTTAATGAATGCAACGTTTAATGTAAATTAGCTAATGAAATAATTTATGTAAAGTTTTACTTTACATTTGAAAATATTATAACTTTAGAATTAACTCGTTTTTTTCTTGCTTATTAATAAAAATGATTAAAAAACATTCGAATGAATTTATGCAATGTTACATCCATGCAAACGTGATCTTTGAAAATATAATGTTACATCCGTGCAAACGTGATCTTAGAAAATATGGCGTTACATCCATGCAAACGTGATCTTTGAAAATGTAATGTTACATCCGTGCAAACGTGATCTTTGAAAATATAGCGTTACATCCATGCAAACGTGATCTTTGAAAATATAGCGTTACATCCATGCAAACGTGATCTTTGAAAATGTAATGTTACATCCGTGCAAACGTGATCTTTGAAAATATAATGTTACATCCGTGCAAACGTGATCTTTGAAAATATAACGCCACATTATCCAAACGTATTTTTAGAAAATTCATATTTTTTAAGTACTATTGAAAATTTGAATTAATCATTTAAACAAGTTTTAGGTGAATGATTGCTGACTTTTCTCATGACAAAATGAATTACCGTTCAAGCTTGCTATAAATAATATATATTATAGGCATCATTCGATATTGGAATTACTTTATGAAATTAAACTACCATAATCAAATGACATTTCTATTTGATTAATTTAAATTATTTCTGATTTACGAAAAGGAGAAAAAACATTTTGGGTTAATATCTTTTTACCAAAGAAAGAATAATTTGCATTTAACCTAAAAAGTTATATAAAACAATTTTTCATTTGTAAAATCGAAATTTCTAACAAAATTAACTGCAAAACGGTTGAACTGAAAACCGAATGATTTTCTAAAATTATCGGTTAATGAAATTATTTATTTATATAATGAAATTCATGAATATCATTATTGGAATGGTATATGCGTCATTTGCGCCATTCATGATACTATTTAATTTACATACAGCAACATATCATTCATTCTCATAATTTCATTTGTCACAACTTTTTACAACTTTTAAAATTTTAATTTGATATATTTAATTAATTGTTGCACAGACATAATTTTACAAATAAATGCTGTAAATCGATTGTTTGTATTCAATGAATTTAGATAAATATGACGTATCAAATATATGTATTATTATTTTCCATGTTTATTATATTAGCAATAATAATCGATAAATCGGTTATGGATGATGTACCAAAAAATAAAATCAAAGTACCAGTACCGGTTAATATTTCCGGAACAATGTTTTGTAATCATGTAAAAGCTTACGCAGTGCTTGTTAATATCGTCGAAGAAGTTTCATGTTTGTTTTTTCTATAATTTTTAAATTATTAAATTTGACATAATTACTGCTTGTAATTAATTTTGTAAAGTCAAAAATTGTTTGTATTTTTATTTTGAAATTTTTGCTTCTTACGTTTCGCAAAAATTTTATCAATATATTTATAAAACTAAAATAAAAAGGGGAAAAAGAACTCTCTGTAAATTTAATTCGATTATTAAAATGAAACTTTCATTACCGCGGAAAAACAACTTGGCGCAAAATGATAAAGAAATTGTAATTCAACTTTAGAACAATTTAGTAATATTAAACCCTATCTGTTTCGTTCATCAATTTATTTATGGTACTTTTTTTTTAAATTATAAAAATTGAATTACGTCTAAAAATAAATATCTACACGTAATAATTTTATCATGATAATGTGATAATACTTACTGTGATAATATAATGTGATAATACTTACTACTATTAGTCTTAAGTATCATTCATATTCATAGATTAACTCGTATCATTCGTATTCATGGTATCATTCTATATCAGTTATTAGTATCAAAAAATAATCAATACATGATAGTTAAAAGTATCATTCCTTTTAACTATCACGTATTGATTATTATTTTTTATATTATCATTAAATATCATGCAATACATATCATTGTGCTTACTAAATTTATCTACTAGAATTAAATAGCGACCAAATCATAATTAGTAAAATTTGAACAAATAATTTTAATAAATTGATGAAATTTCTAGATCAAACAAAAGATGGAATGAAAAATGGTAGATTACGAATTAGTAGTTATTCACTTTCCGGTCGTAATGGTTATTTTGAAATTGTTGGTCGTAGATATGTTACCACAAATTTATTATTATTAAATATTACCCATCATTGTTTACCGAATTTAAAGCGGAAAAAATATCGGGTTAGAAGGAAGTTTTTGAAATTCCAAAAATTTTATACTAACTGAACAGAAGACGAATTATCTTATAGATGCATAAAATTATAATGTAACAATTTTTCTTCGTTTGTTTTTTGCAAAATATACACTTATACATATAATATGATAATTTAATCATTCATCTAGCGCAAACAAAATTTATTCACTTAATATATGGCATTTTCACGTTTCACGTTTCACGTTACTGCTGTATTTTTTACCAATTATCTTCACTTAGCATATGTCAATATGACGTTATTAAATAGTTTAATTATCTTAAAATTAAATGCTAAGTAATTCTGTCATTCTTTTTTCATAGGAATAGCTGATTAACTTACTTAACAATTTGCTCGTTGTTTGTTAACTAATTACTCAGTGATTAGTATTTACTCTCTGATTATTATGCAATCGTTCGTTTGAATTCATACCTTTTCCCGCAATGATTAACAGTAACATTGATTATACGTATCAGTAAAGTTTAGAATATATTGTGTACTTCCAATTTTAGCTTTTCTATTTGCCATTTAGCATATTAATTAATGAATAGCTTGTTTTTTTATCCATTAAACAGTATCCTTCATTTAAATTAATATGAAAATGTTAGAGATACAATGTGGTAACACAATTTTAAGCTTTTAATTTTCAATATCAGATTAGAAATTAAAGGATAAAAAGATAAAAGATAATTTCCGAATATCTCAAATTAATTTTAATGATAAAACTGTTATTCATTATTAATTAGTAATAATTCAGCTGATAATTTGAAATTTTTGTTTCTTTCAAAAAATCAAAGAATCATTCTAAACCTTACTGAAATAGAATTGATAAATGTATCGAACCGTAATGCATTTCAGAATTGTTTTACGAATATTATGTATAGAATTCGTAATGATCTTAAAAATATGAAATATGATATGGGTGAAATTTATTTGGATCGTTTGGAATTGCAAAATGAGGTAGAATGTCGTGAATGGCCCTATGAATATCCGCAATTTGTTAAAGATTATATAGCCAAAAATCCAACATAAATTTGAAACCTAAATTTAAAATATTAATTAATTACAAAAAATAAATTCTATATTTTCTTCTTCATTTTTATATTCCTAAATTAATCATAATATTTATTAATTTATATGAAATAAAATTCACTACCAATATGACTCATACAACAGCAACAACAACAACAACAACAAAGAAATCAAAATACTATCATCCATTCTTTATTTCTATTTTATTTCAAGTTGTCGAAATGTCTTTAATTTATGAAAGAGTTCAAAAAAGGAAATAAAAAATGGAAAGAAAGATTTTTTCAAAAGTTGAAAATATGCTATTAACTGTAGAAATTTTAACAAAAATTTAACGAAAATAAATTTTAGCATTTATTGATGAAAAATTTCAGCGAAACTACGTGATATTTAAGAAAATGAAGAACGATTATAAATTATAACTTTGATAAAGTAAATCTGAAAGAAATAGTATAAAACATTTAATTGTTTTTGAATTTAAAAATTTGAACATTTGAGAATCTGAACGTTTAATTGCATTTGAAATTGAGAGTCTGGACATTTTATTGCATTCGAATTTGCGAGCCTGAACATTCGATTATATTTGAATTTGAGAATTTAAACATTTGAGAATCTGAACACTTAATTTCATTCGAATTTGAGAATCTGAACATTTAATTGCATTTGAATTTGAGAATCTGAGCATTCAAATGTATTTGAATTTGAGAATCTGAACATTTAATTGCATTTGAATTTGAGAATCTGAACATCTAATTATTTAGATTATTATAAGGATAATTTTGATTGGAAGCTAATTTCTGTGTAAAACAATTACGACTGAATTAAACGATAACAGGGAAAAAAGCATTTCAAAAATTGTGATTAAATTAAATAATAAAAATAAAATCTTGAAGTGATATGATTATGATTAAGTGCATTCATTAATTTTGTTCATGAAATAATCAACAGTGATAAGTATTAGCAACAATAATAATACGCTGATTCGATATCTATTGTTAATAGTTCATGAACAACAAAAATAGCGAAGCAAACAAAATTAATGTAATTAGTATGCATGAGAAATATATTCTAATTAAGATATAATTTACTTTTAAATTACTATTTTAATTAAGAATTACAATTTCAAATTTAATTAAATGTTAAAAGAAACAGAAATTGATAGTGCACAAAAAAGTAAACAGATATTATCACAAGCTTATCACAAATATTGCAATCTTTTTTTATACTGTGAACATATTTTTATAATCTAATATTTTAATAGAAAAAGATAATTAATATATTACATTGAATTGCATCGATCGATCAATTATTTATTCTTACAATTTTTCGATAAATAAGTTAGATCGATTTTTTTCTTCTTTTCCATTATCATTCCGACCATCACTATCATTCCGATCCTTTATAATATCAATTGATCGGTTATTTAAGCATTTAACTGATGTTGTTGACATGTAGAAGAAAATGAGTACATACATCGAAATTATGATGTATACTTTGGAATAACGAAATTGATGTTTTGCATAAAATCATCATGCCATAAAGTGATGCAACAGAATTATATTCTATAAATCAATATTGATTAATTGACCAATTATTTAGTTGAGCATCATATAATATATAAAATTAAAGACAAAAATTATTTTATCTGAATGGATAGATTTCACGATCAAAAGATAAAATGTAAATTAATATATGATAATAAATATATTCCGGATTAGGAAATAACATCCAGATAGATAATCGAAGATAATGATTTCTAATCACTCATTTACGTTAACCATTATGTTCCAATATCATAATATCATATCAAATATTATCAGAAATGGAACTAATAATAATTAATTAAAGTATTACCTTGAAAATTAGCAATCCATTTCGAAGGAAGAATTATTTGTCGATTAAAAGGAAATATATATATATATATATGTGCAACCATTTTATAAATTTAAAACAATCAATTTCATTGAAATGGATAAAGTTCGAAGGAAGCATAGAATGAGAGGGAAAGAACTGAAAAGTTTGTGACAACAATTTTGTGAACAGCAAAACAAATCTAATCGAATTGTTTAATTTGATTTAAAGATGCAAACAGATGGCAGTTGCTATTTATGGTGCGACTTTAGAGCTAAGTGTGAATATTTGAACTCGCAAACTATTTGTGAAAACTTGTAATTGACAACTTGGAAATGCTTTAAATATAGTAATGATTGATATAAAGTGATCTTATGATAAGTGATCCTGTCATAGATAAGATATCATTTGAAACATTATTAAAACTTCCCAATCAGATCACTTATCACTTATCATTTATCCATATTTTACCATTATTTGTAAATAAGAAATCATTCATTTATGTTTATATGTGAGCAGAAAGAAATGAGCAAAAAATTTAAGCTTATGATGAGCAACTTTAAACCATTAGTGTCAGCTGTGATATTTTGTGTGCACACATACACACATCCACGGAGACAAACAGACAGACACACACATACGGAGCATATATCACAATAATCAACTAACCATTATCAATCAACAATATTGTTGTCAAACTTATCTGTCTGCATTTCTTTTAGTTACTATTTATTTTTTGTAATCATTTAAAAATGATAAATCTGCCTTGAAAAAAAAATTTGATAAAAGATCAGAATATGTCATCATTAAATTTTAATTAATATGAAAGCGGTATATTTAAAAATTGAAGATAATGATAAGCGAAATGTTAAGCTACAAGCAAGAATCTAGATAAATTATATTCAGGAATGGATAAATCTCAGATTATATGATAATGCAGCCACTGAATCGCTATGATGAAAGAGAACAGATATTAATGATAACAAATTATACGTTACCAAAACGTTCAGAATTAGTAAATGTGTCAAACAAAATGCTAAAATAATATACCTAAAAGAAAGCTCATAAGTGGACAAAAGAGATAACAATTAAGCTGATTAATAATTTTAGATGTCATAATACTGCTTCAACCTCCATCTTTCTATTTTCCTTCTCTGAGAATTATCGTACAACTTGTTTGGGATCAAATAATCAACGATGACCTTTTGATCCTTCCTCTTTTCTTAATCTTCTTACCTGTTTACAATTCTTTACTTTATAAACAATATCACAGTTATAATCTTCGTTACTGATTTTCACTTTAATTTAATTTCATTTATTTCATTCATTGAAATAAACATTACTATTATTGTGTATAATTTAATTTAAAAAGAAAATGATAAAATATGTATTTGCTGTAATCTAACTATATTACGTTTGATGCTATTATCCCTTAGCTTCATCATACTATCAACATATTCTACTATCACTATTGTAATTACCAAATTTTACCAACCGATTTTCTTACCTATTTACAATTCTTTATTTTATAAACAATATCACAGTTATAATCTTCGTTACTGATTTTTACTTTAATTAAATTTCATTTTATTGTAATTCGATTACCAACCGATTACCAACGCACGGTTACCAATGTCTTTTTTTGTTGATAGTATAATGAAGAAAAGAAAGATTGTTGCCAACCATTGCATAGATTAAAGTTTTGTAGTTCGTTAAGTTGAAAAAATTATGCAATAACATGATTTATTTGAGGAATTTCAAAATGTTTGCCCTAACTGCATTCCATTCAATAAATACTCCACTCTAAATACATCTATTTGTTCAATACACTTACAATCAAAATGCTTTGATTTCTCATATCATATGAGATAAACACAATATCATCAGATTGAAAGAAAGTTTGACCGATCGAAAAAGGCAAAAAGCCGGAAAGTTTTACAGAAGTACATGAAATAATGAAATAAGAGATACCCTATAGTAAGAATAAAATAGAAAGTTTGTCTTGGCTGAAAATATATATATATAAATTGAGCAAACACATAAATATGAAATAGAGAGTAAAATATTGCAAATTTCAAAGGCTATGAGTCATTTGTGAATACAATTCTAAGAGCTTTGATATCATAATTAAATATAATATACAATATTGTCATAAATATCGCACCGCATTAGTAGCTAAACAAAAAAAATATGGCTATGTCAGAAATAAAGGAAAACATCGAGATCACCACTTTAAAGTCTTCGCGCTTACCTGTATCATTACATGGCTTGCTATGATAAATGCGTCTCTAAAATTTATTGTAAGAAAACATTATCTATGTAATCAGGGCTACTGCATACTCTTGTGTTAGCAAGAATATGAAAAAATGAAAATTAATCGATCGCCCCCATGCTAAATGCTATGTACAACTGAAAAGTCGCAGGAAACTTTCGACGTCACTGTATTAATATTTTCTTTTCACATAAACATCGTTCCTTAGTATGGCTCATGCTATCATTGTTCGTCCTGAAATATGACAACCTAGAAGGGAAGCAAGTTTTGATTTAGCAGGGCGCTTCTGTCGCAGACGAATTTATCATAATGCATATTCATCACAAATGACAAAAGCTTATGTACAATTAAAAAAGCTATCTGTGGAACGCTATAAACGCTTTTGGAAGTCCAACAATTTCTTCTCAAACCGGGTTTTTCATTCGTTAAGCAAAACACACTTGTCCTTTGTTATTAGCTAAATAAAATGCTTTTCAATTCCTAAGGTTTATCTTACTGCCTATCTCAAAATTTTCTTCATTCCTAAAAATTAATGCTAAAACAACGAACTATATGTGAAAAAATCTTAAAATCTTTTGATAGAGAAACAAACATAAAATCTCCCACTTTATTCCACTCCCGATATTAAATGATATCCTAAATTAAATTAACGATATTTGGAATACCGAATAAAAGTGATTAGAAACTACTGACAAACACCCAAAGTTGCTAAGTCAATTAAAAAAGTAAGAATAAATTTCGACATTAGTCAATTCAAATTCACAAAAGAAAAGATATATAAAAACGCATAATGAGGCATACCCGCACGCAACACAAAAGTCATAAATCGAAAATACAAATTGCAAAACAAAGCGTTATTACGTCAATAGAAATCGCCTTC